CAGACACTTTTAGTTTCACACATGGTATTTTGTCTGTTTGGGGCCTCTTCAAAATGTCTATTGTTGGGGTCAATTTTATCTTCTCTACAAAAGAAGCTTATCTGGAATATAAATACAGTAATACGTTAAATCTTTACGTAATGCACGCTTATGTCTACATTTTCTTTCTTTATGAAGCAATATGCAAATGATTGCCAATAGCAAATCTATTTACTAAATTATTTTGGGAGTCGAAGTGTCCGTTATTATTTGTTTTTAACAAGAAAAAGCTTACCGACGGCAAATATTGTTTGTACATAATCGAAACATTTGCTGTCTGCTTTACGTCAGGGATGAACTTACAACTCTTGGTGTAAACTCCTGTTTCGGGGTCTAATGTGCATTTTTTATCTTTTGAGGTATCGTCTTCATAAACACCAGCAACTGATTGAGAACATCGTGTTTCTTCTATTTTATTACCTTCCATAACAAAAAATGGTGTAGTGGTTGAGTATTCATCGAAAACACCCCATCGTAGATGTGCCCACTCGTGTACAGCAGTTTTATCTGAAAGTTACATATGATTAAAAAAAAAAAAGAAGAAAAAAAAAAGAAGTGAGAGGTAAAAATTACAAAAGCGCTCGAGCAGAAGCAAAGTAAATTTATAAACTAGAAATTGCCAATTGCAAGTGAAGTGCTGCGAAGTACAACTGCATATAAATGTTCTTCGAACAAAATTATTTATGCAAGTCAAGTGAAAATAATGAATAATAAAACTATAACAAATAATATGAGACACGACTCATTGTCTATAATAGAACACTTCTCATTGGGTAACAAAGTCGTAATTTTTCATTTTTGTCAAAAAGTGTCTATAGTGTGGTGAATTATGGTTTAGGTTTTTATTAATAAAGTTTCAAAAATTTCTATGTATGTGGAAAATGTAGTTGATTACCAAAGGTTACAATTTTTATTTTGAAGACTGCATGGTCTAGGAAGTGTACATTTTTTTATGGGGCAAGATTCCAAGGGCGGGTTTTCTAGGGGCGAGTTGACTGCCAAAGAGTGTTGCCAAAGTGCGAGCCAGCGTGTTATTTGATCACAAGTGCGAGACATATCACAAGTGTGAGCCAGCGAGCCATAACGTCACGACAATAGATAGAGACGTTAGCCAGGAGATTTGTGGAGTACAATTCAAAAAACAACTATAGGTCTAATAATGAATATTGTGATGTTAAATAGACAATGTTAGCTATCAAAGAGCGACGTTGTTTTTCATTGGGACCTTCGTCTTCAAGGCTAGGCCTATACCACTAGCTAGTCTAGACCTAGAGTAGGATAAGGCTAGCGCGACATGCGGACGTTGGTACGAGTAGGTTAGTCTACAAACGTCGCCTAAAGTAATTGATTTTACCCGGCAGAACGAAAGAAGGAAACTCCGCTTTTCAGTCGTCTTAAGCACTCGTTTTTTGACACACAATGACCTTTCAGAGGTCAAATTGCTGTCAAGAATATGAATTGGCTGCTTCGCAGCAAATATGTATACCTTAGCTGATCGCTTGGCTGAGATGTATTGTTCCTGCTTCTTGTTCTGAAGACCACGGTTCAAACCCGGCTCCTCGAATAATCCTCACATTAAGAATTATTCGAGAAAAGGACCATATTCGTTTGTGGTGCTGCACTGTGCATTCCACGGGTTCCCAGGAACTACTCATATTTCCAATTTCATTATGAACAAGGACAAAGGAAGCATTGTTATTATATTTTTTATGTGATTTTTCTTATGTATTTAAATGTTTTGTCCTTTCTTAGTGCAATTTTGTATATAATATTTTTAATATTCTTGCATTTCTTAATATATTCTAGTTTTGTATTCATTCATTTCAGCCTTTGGCTGCCGTTTGTATATTCTTTTATACCTAAATAAATAAACAAACAAACAAACAATCAAACAAACAAACAAATAAACAAACAAATAAATAAATAAATATAGAGATATATCTTTGAATATGTTTATTCATTCTATGTTGTACATACAATGTATTTATGTGTTTTCTATTTATCTTGGTGGTTAGTAATAATAGTAATACCGTACTAAAGCAAATGTAGCAAAGTTCCATCAATAAAGTACCTCTAGGCCCCCAGCCACTTTCAGCATATTTCTTATTCCGCACGTACTGTGGTGTTAAGTTGATGTACTGCCCCTGTTTACCACATCCTTCGATAACATGTGTATACGGGCCCTTTGATGTTCCATAATCTATGCGTATATTTGCTCTGTCAAATGTTTCTGTTTTTGCTGGTTTATACTCAGCGAGATTGGTCCAAGAATTGGGTACAAGTATTGTGATTGTCTTCCAGTACACTCTATGGTTAGTAGCTTCAAAGAGAAATGAAGAGCCTTCAGTGAATATTTCCTGTAAAGAAAATGGTAGATTTATAATTTTATCGTCAACATTACATACAATATCATACTATTATATAAGCCTATTGCATCTGTAAGTTAGCATAAGCATAGTCAAACATTTTCCAATTATTATTAGGCGATTTGGGGGGGGGGGGGGCCGGCCCGGCCCCGGCCCCCCCTTTTGGGAAGGAAAAAAGAAAGAAAAAAAGAAAGAAAAAGAAAAAAATGCCATAGCCAAGAACGCCTCAAATGTTATTTTCAGGCGTCTAGAACACAAAAATTTCGCGGGGGCATGCCCCCGGACCCCCTAGGACATTGCTGTCTCGATCGGCCCATATTTCCTGTAAAGAAAATGGTAGATTTATAATTTTATCGTCAACATTACATACAATATCATACTATTATATAAGCCTATTGCATCTGTAAGTTAGCATAAGCATAGTCAAACATTTTCCAATTATTATTATGCACCTTAAGACAGTTGTTAGTATCACCAAAGGACAAGAGCCAATAGAAAGACATCACAGGCGCCATCTACCACATCCCATGCTAAGGCAAAACTACTTCCGGTAAATGTAAGATTCTTACATTTGGGAATCAGAAAGAACTCTGAAAACACGTTTCTTGGAACATCGTAGACCTAGTAGACCTAGTTCAACTTCATCGGAAATCTCTCAACATATACACATTGAATCACCTGGACATCATGTGGACCTGGCACAGGTCAACATTCTTGACAAGGAACCAAAACACTTTGAAAGAGGTGTCAAAGAGGCAATTTATATCCGTGTGAACAAACCAACGCTAAACCGAGACGGGGGACGACACAAACTGTCAAAGATCTACGATCAGATTTTGGAGTCACGTGCTCGTAAGATCACGTGCCCAAAATCGGTGTAGCCTTCAAGTCACATTCCAGACATTGTGCTGAGGAAGACCGTGGCATACGGTCGAAAATTTTACGGTAAGGAAATTTGTTTGTGTTGTGATCAAAAGTTTAAACTTTTAGTACATTCAAATACCAACACAGATGAGCTATTTTTCGAATATTATTATTATTATTATTATTATTATTATTATTATTATTATTATTATTATTATTATTATTATTATTATTATTATTATCATTAAAGACTTTTACTTAAAACTACTATTGAGTGTTCAATATTTTGTTTGATGTATTCTTGTCATGTTAATCATATTTTTTGTTTAAATATAAGAATTCAAGATTTCAAAAACAATGGAATGAATACGGCAGATCTCAGAATACGACTCGGTGACAGAAAAGTGCGTAGTTTGATTGAGTTCTCCTTTTTGTTGACGCTATTACCAAATCCCAAAACAAAGATGTTGAACACGAGAACATTATTGTTTCTGCCTTCTAGTTAATTGCTGCGAAGCAGCCAATTCATATTCTTGACAGCAATTTGACCTCTGAAAGGTCATTATTTGTCAAAAAACCTGCGCCTATGACAGTTGAAAAGTGGAGTTTCCTTCTTTCATTCTGCCGGGTAAAATCAATTACTTTAGGCGACGTTTGTAGACTAACCTACTCGTACCAACGTCC